CACTAGTTTGGGGGCATACACAATGTACTATATATTCATGCTAGATAATCACTGATTCACGGTTCTAACTTCACTCATCAACGTTTAGCTGCCAGAATGACACTATTACACGACAAGAGCATTTTCATTTTTCACGCTATTCAGACTAGGGCATCTAGTTTACATACGTTTTCTATAGGGCATCTAGTTACATACCGTTTTCTTAGGGCATCTTAGTTTACATACGTTTTCTATAGGGATTCTACCTTTACATACGTATCTCTATAGGGCATCTACGTACATACGCCTTCTACTACGGGCATTCTACTTTACACATACGTACTTCTAAGAGGGCATCTACGTTACATACGCCTTCTATATCGGCATCTTACTTTACATACGTATTCTATAGGCATTACGTTTACATACGCCTTCTATAGGGGCATTCTACTTTACATACGCGCTTCTATACGGGCATCTACGTATACATACCTTCTATAGGGCATCTACTTTACATACGCCTTCTATAGGGCATCTACTTTACATACGCTTTCTATAGGGCATCTACTTTACATACGCCTTCTATAGGGCATCTACTTTCACAGTTACGCTTTCTATAGGGACATCTACGGTTACATACGCTTTCTCATAGCGGCATCTGACTTTAATACGCGTTCTATATGGCATCTATTTACACACGCCCGCTTTCTATAGGGCATCTAGTTTACATACGCTTTCTATAGGGCATCTAGTTTACATACGCTTTCTATAGGGCATCTAGTTTACATACGCTTTCTATAGGGCATCTACTTTACATACGCTTTCTATAGGGCATCTAGTTTACATACGCTTTCTATAGGGCATCAACCTTAGATGCAGATAGTGCAGCTATAATGCAGTCTATAGTGCACTCTAGTGCCGAATATTACAAAGAAGGAGAGAACGAAGCTTTTTCCGGGGATGAAATAGTGAACAATTCGCTACAGGCTATTGGTGCGTGTGACCTTGGGTGTGACCCATGTCAGCAACACGAATGACACGTGAGCTGCTGTAACCGTTTTGTTTCTGATCTAGACGGAAAATTTTCAGCTTAAATTTTTTTTCAAACACAATAAGTAGAAAGGACTTTCGAAATGTTCATAAATGACTGACGTATGTGTATTTCATCTGTTCGCTTGTATCGTGATTGCAGAGATATCCCCCAGAGCTGTTAGATCCGCCGTGAGCATACAGTGGGTAATTAAAGTTAAGAAAAGCGCATGCAGCTATTCTAGTTAAAATTCAAAATTATTCAACCAGAACAGCTGGAGTAAATGATTGCTGAGTGCCCTGGCCAGCTCTATGCAGCTAATGAGTTCGAACGGGCGCTGTAAATTAAAATTAATCTAGATTGAAATTCTAGTTCGTAGTAGAAATGTTGCTAAGATGTACATCCCGTCGATTCAATCAAAGAACCTTATTAATTCATAATTAACAATTAATAATATATAAGTATTTCTGGTCAAATATGAAATAATAAATATAAATAATTAAAATAGCTTTTTAGCGACCTTGGACTGACAGACGTAATGTCGCTGAGGGTTCTAACGTTAATGATTACCGCTCCTGATCGTAACGGTCGCTAGAGGGCCTACTCACCAGAGAGTTAACCCCTCACTCTATGAAAGTGGGTGGCTGCTGACTGAGCCAGACCGGCCAATGAGTGAGCAGGTTGCAGCGACTGTGATTAGGTCGTCCAATCAGCGAGCAGGCTTTTGCCTGACGTCATTTCTCAAGTTATTCAAGTTGAATTTATTCAACTGCAATTAGTGCATGCTTCTGCCAAAGCTATTAACTAGATTGTTTCCATTCATCAGGTATTCGCCTGGAGCAAAGTTTTGCCGTATTTACTTCTGTACGCTCGATTGCTCGCCGCTAATCAGATNTGTCCTACACGCGCACGTAGCCTGAGTAGTGTTATCAACGTAACAGATTCCTCCGTTTTCGCACGTGGCACGCTGACATGGATCGTCTGAAATAGAAGCAACTATTATAATGTTTTGAACGCGTGCATTAAAGCGAGGATTTCTCTCGTTTACAACAATTGTTTTCATATTTTCTCGACCGCTCTGATACTTACCGGTACTTCTTGCATAACGCCAAATGTGTATAGTAAAACTAACATGTCATAGAGCACTCGCACAACATTCTATCCACAAATATGTTCTCCGATCTGCATTACTAATTAGATTGCTTACATATATGTCAATAAACCTAGCGCGTGGTGTTTGCCTTCGCGAAACCGAAACCCTGACTCTACATTAGGTTAATTACTTTTTTATATGGATTTCAAGATAGGCACCTGTCTATAAGATAATATATATTAACGTTACGTAACCGCGTGCGCTCGTTTTGTGCGAGTGTTTGAATAATCCGTTATCGCGAATCTGAAGATATCGGGCGCACGTTTGCTGTTCATCTATTGTGTTATTGCATGTATATAATAGCACACATTTGTGGTGATTGTTGTGCTGGAGTATTAAATATAACGCAATTTATCTACACTCATGCAGTTTTCCAATTTATTCCTGAAATGATACGTTCGTGATAGCAGTTATGCTAAGTACGATTAGCGACCTTGTCCATCTCCCCGACCATGCTCTTGAGCCTTACCAAGGTCATGGAAGACGGCTTACCATTATCCTATTTCATTTGCTATCATTATTTGTGCTCAGTGTACATAAATACTCTTCAACCTAAACTTGAGCTTGACGTTGGGCATATAAACAAACACATCGGTCATGTAAGATAGACTCACCTAACTGGCAGCTTCCACGGCCATCCAAAGACAGGGTCACTCTTCTATACCCAGGCTGGCACTCGCACCGCTGTCTCCCAGAGGTAAAGTCCAGATTGCACGTACTGTGCGGAGTTGTACACTGCTTGTTATCCAGACAATCCTCACCCAGAAAAGCAGCTGCATAGGCAAAGGCACAAGATATAGCCTAAGGCATACACCACGTGTGGTCGATTTGAGAGAGTACTTGACGCGTTCTATGAGTACTTTATTGTATATCTTCATTGTGTATATTATTGTGTGATCATTTGTAATATACGAGGTAGTTTGGCTATTCCCTATTTAATAACGATTATGTGAAACCTTCTTTCTTCTCGGTCGTATATTTTTAACATGGGTATGAAAACAAATTACAAATTCGTCTCACACATATCTCCAAATACACCTTGAGGACAGAGGCAGAGTGGATCATATGAACCAGGATCGACCAGACAAGTACCGTTGTTACAGTTCGTTGTACTACATGGGTCCATATCACATATTGCTCCTGTTATTCCATGTGGACAAACACAAAAGGCAGTATAAGAAACGGGATCAACAACGCAAGTACCAGTGTTACAATCTAGTGTACTGCATGGATTCGTCTCACACATATCTCCAAACACACCTTGAGGACAGAGGCAGAATGGATCAAATGAACCAGGATCGACCAGACAAGTACCGTTGTTACAGTCCGTTGTACCACATGGGTCCATATCACACATGGCTCCTGTTATTCCATGGGGGCACAGACAGGAGGCGGCATAGGCAACAGGATCAACAACGCAAGTACCAGTGTTACAATCTAGTGTACTGCATGGATTCAGCTCACACATATCTCCAAATACACCTTGAGGACAGAGGCAGAGTGGATCATATGAACCAGGATCGACCAGACAAGTACCCTTGTTACAGTCTGTTGTACTACATGGGTCCATGTCACACATTGCTCCTGTTATTCCATGAGGACAAGTACACGAGGCAGTATAGGAAACTGGGTCAACAACGCATGTACCTGTGTGGCAATCTAAAGTACTACATGGGTCCATATCACATAATGCTCCTGTTATTCCATGAGGACACAGACACGAGGCAGTATAGAACACAGGGTCCACAAGGCAAGTTCCATCATTGCAACCTAATAAATCACATGGATTGTTTTCACACGTGTCTCCAAATGTTCCTTGAGGACAGAGGCAGAATGGATCATATGAATCAGGATCGACCACACAAGTCCCATTGTTGCAATCGGCTGCATTACATGGGTCCATGTCGCACATTGCTCCCGTTGTTCCAGGAGGACAAACACAGGTTGAGGAATTTGAAATAGGGTTAACAACACATGTTCCACCATTACATTGCGCAGTAATGCAGGGAGTATCAGTGCACTGTTCGCCAAATATACCGCTAGGACATTTGCACATCGGCGAACCAGTAAATGGCTCTATCAAACACGAGCCCATGTGACAGTCGAGTGTGTCACATGTACTCCTGCCGCAGCTGGGACCGGAGAACCCTGTCCTACAAGCGCACGTAGCCTGATTGGTGTTATCAACATAACAGATTCCTCCGTTTTCGCACTTGGCACGCTGACATGGATCATCTGAAATAGAAGCAACTCTTATAATGTTTTGAACGCGTGCATTAAAGCGAGAATTTCTCTCGTTTTCAACAACCGTTTTCATATTTTCTCAACAGCTCTGATACTTAACGGTACTCCTGGCGTAACGCCAAATGTGTATAGTAAAACTAACATGTCATAGAGCACTCGCACATCATTCTTTCCACAAATATGTGCTCCGATCTGCATTACTAATTAGATTGCTTACATATATGTCAATAAACCTAGCGCGTGGGGTTTGCCCTCGCGAAACCGAAACCCTAACTCTACATTAGGTTAATTACTTTTTTATATGGATTTCAAGATACTCACTTGTCTATAGAATAATATATATTCACGTTACGTAACAGCGTGCGCTCGTTTTGTGCGAGAGTTTGAATATTCCGTTATCGCGAATCTGAAGATGGCGGGCGCACGTTTGCTGTTCATCTATTGTGTTATTGCATGTATATAATAGCACAAATTTGTGATGATTGTTGTGCTGGAGTATTAAGTAAAACGCAATATATCTACAATCATGCAGTTTTCCAATTTATTCGTGAGATGATACGTTCGTAATAGCAGTTATTCTAAGTACGATTAGCGACCTTGTCCATCTCCCCGACCATGCTCTTGAGTCTTACCAAGGTCATGGAAGACGGCTTACCATCATCCTATTTCATTTGCTATAATTATTTGTGCTCAGTGTACATAAATACTATTCAACCTGAACTTGAGCTTGACATTGGACATATAAACAAACACAATCGGTCATGTAAGATAGACTCACCTAACTCGCAGCTTCCACGGCCATGGAAAGACAGGGTCACTCTTCTATACCCAGGCTGGCACTCGCACCGCTGTCTCCCAGAGGTATAGTCCAGATTGCACGTACTATGCGACGTTGTACACTGCTTGTTATCCAGACAATCCTCACCCAGAAAGGCAGCTGCACAGGCAAAGGCAGAAGATATAGCCTAAAGCATACACCACGTGTGGTCGATTTGAGAGAGTACTCGACGCGTTCTGTGAGTACTTTATTGTATATCTTCATTGTGTAGATTATTGTGTGATCATTTGTAATATACGAGGTAGTTTGGCCATTCCCTATATAATAACGATCATGTGAAACCTTCTTTCTTCTAGCTCGTATATTTTTAACATGGGTATGAAAACAAATTACAGCCCAGTATACGGGAAACTAGGTACATGATCGATGATGCGTTGTGTGTATACAGCAGGCCCGTAGCCAGCTTTACATTGGGGGGGGGGGGTTCGTTTTTCAATGTTGGCAATTTGCTCGGCAGGGGCGTGTACAGGAGGGGTCCAGGGGGGGTCTAACCATAACGCAAAGTTGTGATCACGCGAAGGGGGGGTCTGGGAAATTTCCCCCATAACATTTTTAAAATTACACCCCCTCAGATGCGTTTTCTGCGCGAGCAAGGGCGGTACGGGCGCACATACTCAACGCGCACGTACGCACACACAGGCATTACGCACACACACACAACACACACACACACACACACACACACACCACACACACACACACACACGCACGCACGCCACGACGCACACGCACGCACGCACGCACGCCACGCACGCACGCACGCCACGCACGCACGCACGCACGCACCGCATACGCATACACACACGCACACGCACATGCACACGCACACGGCACCAACACACACACGCCTGCGCGCACGCACACACATATATACGCTGTTTAACCTAATTAAGAATACATGTGGCCGACAAAAGCAGAGGTTCAGAACTACCCGGTATTTATACGTGCGCGCGAGACACGCACTCTCTGCAAAGCTGACCATAGTAAAACCTTCGACGGCAAGGAGCACCGGGAATAAGGGCCGATGCACAGTAGCTAACATCGGGTTCGTCGCCGCTTACCATTCTGTCTGTCGAATGATCGTAAATGTCGCCTGCATGGCGATACCTGAAGGAGCGGCAAAATACATGTCACGTCATCGATAGTGAGGCTCTCGTGTTGCGTGCGCAGTGAGAACAATCCGCAACGCTGCTAAAACTCAACACACCGTATACGCATGTAGAGTTACTTTTCATAAAGTGATCGTACATTGCTCTCACTTGACGGTCTAGTAAAATCTGAAGAAAGAATTCTGAAGAATACTGTGAAGAGAAGTCAAATAGCAAAGTGAGATTAAGAGGAATCCCAACACAGGCACGTAATAATCGCATGAAAAGACTGGTGTACCCTTGATCGACGTGCTGGTGGGAAGGTTGGATCGCAAACCTACAACACGCTCAATGATAGACGTTATATTTCGGGAATTAGATAATAGCATTGCACAAGTAATTAGATATAGTATAAGAAGCAGAGTGTACGTTGTAATTTTAGTTCGATAGAATATGCTAACAATATTAAAAAATACTGGGAACGAAGTCATCTATTGCAAATATCCCCAATACCACCCAAACCATAAACGAGATCTCCGTCCTTTTTCGTTGCGTTCGTTCGCCTGGTCCGCTCCGTTTGTCCGTCTATTCGTCCATCCATCTATCCCTCTATTTACATAATCTAGATTCTGCTTTTTTTTTTCTATTTAACTCTATCTATTCTCATCTCTATCTATCTATCTTCTTCTATCTATCTATCTATCTATCTTCTATGCGTATCTACTCGATTCTATCTATACTTTTCTATCTATCTAATCTATCTATCTATCTATCTTCATCTTATCATCTTATCTATTCTATCTATCTAATCTATCTATCTATCTATCTATCTACTCTATCTATCTTCTTTATCTATCTATCTATCTAATTTCTATCTACATCACTATCTATCTATCTATTCTATCTATCTATCTATCTACTATCTATCTATCTGATCTATCTATCTATTCTATCTATCTATCTATCTTTATCATGCAATCTATCTCATTCTAACTATCTTACCTATCTCATCTATCCTATCTCATCTATCAATCAATCAATCAATCAATCTATCTATCTATCTATCTATCTATCAATCTATCTATCATCTATCTATCAATCAATCTATTCTATCTATTATCATCTATCTATCTATCTTACTTACTATCAATCAATCAATCAATCAATTATCTATCTATTATTCTATCTATCAATCTATCTACTAATCTATCTATCAATCAATTATCTATCTATCTATCTATTATCTATCTTCAATCAATCAATCAATCAATCTACTTATCTATCTATCTATTTCTATCTATCTATTTGATCCTTGGCTCTATATGTGTAAATCACAGACGTCGACTATGCAGGATTTGTTAATTACTCACAGTGATTAAAGAGTCCTGCTATCAGTAAAAACCGCGAATAAATATTCCAAGCTGGCGCCATCAGCGCCATTTGCATCACAGCGATTCTGAACGACAGCAGAGAAGAATTGTGCCAGGCGTTTCATCAATTAATTTGTTTCTATAATTCTTTTTTATAAATACATCAGCATATATAAACAACAATAAGCGCAATAGCATACCCGTCGATATTGAATACAATGAATGGATATTATAAACAGGAACGTTAAGAGACTAGTAATCGATTTTATATACGAGTTTTAATAATAACGTTTTTTTAATAATTCTGTTGATTATTAATTATACGACTTGCCGAGTCTCTCTCTCATCTCTCTCTCTCTCTCTCTCTCTCTCTCTCCTCTACTCTCTCTCTCTGCTCTCTCTTCTCTCTCCGCTCTCTCTCTCTCTTTCTCTCTCTCTCTCTCTCTCTCTCTCTCTCTCTCTCTCTCGCTCTCTTCCTCTCTCTCTCTCCTCTCTTCCTCTCTCTCTCTCTCCTCTCTCTCTCGCTCGGCTCTCTTCCTCTCTCTCTCTCTCTATCTCTCTATGCTTCTCTATTCTCTCGTCTATTCCTCTCTCTCTCTCTCTCTCTCTCTCTCTCTTTCTCTCTCTCTCTCTCTCTCTCGCTCTCTTCCTACTCTTCTCTCTTCTCTTCTCTCCTCTCTCTCTCTCCTCTCTCTCTCTCTCTCTCTCTCTCTCTCTTCGCTCGCTCTCTTCCTCTCTCTGTCTCTCTCTCTCTCTCTCTCTCTCTCTCTCGCTCTCTTTCCTCTTCTCTCTCTCTCTCTCTCTCTCTTTCTCTCTCTCTCTCTCTCCTCTCTCGCTCTTCTTTTCTCTCTCCTCTCCTCTCTCTCTCTTCCCATTACAACAGACCACATTTCACACTGATTTTCGGCTATTCATGAATTACCAGCGATTGATAGCAAACAAACACATTGCTTAAACACACGAGAACACATGATTAATAATTCACTTTTCTTCGCCCGCCAAGCTAAACGTGACAGTCGGAAGGGACGGAAGGCGGACACGAGATGAGGCGTCTACCGCTCGTAAATCATTTATCCGAGGTTAAATTACGTGTAACAGTCATGCATTTGGGCCTTAAATGTCTGTAATTTTTACTCGGTTAAATTATTTCTACATGCGGTTATAAAATGTTTTTCTAAGGCACGATGACCACCGTATCCCCTCACGCGCTCGATTGAGCAATAGTTACAAACGTATTTGAACGAGATTTTTGTACCGAAAAAGCCCTGCGCTGCCATGGTCACCAAGAGCGCGCGACACCTGCCAATAGTCGCCCTTGGCTCGCTGTGCCATAACGCGCACGCGAATATTGCGCGCGGCTACTGATTAAAGTTGCTAACGTGTGATGAAGCGAGTCGGTCGATTGGGAAGCCAATAGTTCCATCGCTTATCGCTGCAATTATCACGCGAGATCAACAAACCACTGAACAGCCGCTATTACCAATGTATAACGTAGCTGCATTCTCTTCGTTATTGTTACCGCTCTTAATCGCAGTAATATTCAAATAATATAATAATATTAAATTTCGCCGTTACATATTCAATAATATATTAATATATATTGCGCCGTTAAATTCAATAATATTATAATAATAATATTTGCAGTTAATATTAAATAATATATATAATATATTCGCCGCTAATATTCAATAACATATATAAATAATATTCGCTTAATATTCAATAATATATTAATAATATTCGCCGTACATATTTCAATAATATATATAATAATATTCGCTCGTATATTTATTATAATATTCGCGCGGTTTCATTTCGACTCGTACCCACAGCTTCGCACTTGCTTGTAGGAAACCCGGGCAAGCTTTGCCCCTTTCCTCGTCCCTAACTATAGCGACGATGTCGACGACACGGGTTCGAACGTCGCTCCAGAGGTTTTACTCGATTATAGTTGTTCGAATAATGGCTGGCAGGTGTTGCTCTTCCGCGAGATGTGCGTTAGAACTACGAGGAACCGTTCACGACCAGTGATGCGTCGTCGACAGTTAGCCGGACGATTGGAGCCACTATTGCGCCTGATCGTTTTATAACATGACGATGCCTCGACGGTGCTGCTGCGGTGACCTGCGACAGGTTTACGTCAAGGGCAGGGGCATGACCTTAGGAGCACGCCCTCACGAACGCAGGGCACGTTCACGACGCAGGGCACGCTCGCGCACGTGAAACCGTTGCGCATCAAATATATCAGTCAGTTAACGCCTGACGTTATAGGATACTCTCCCGTTGGCCGGGTATTGCCTCTAGTGAAGATTAAACGTTTATGTTGCGATATGAATCGAATCAATCACTTGTCTTTATTATAGCAAGAGATATATCTCTATGTCATGCAAAAAATTTCATTGAAATTTATCCAGCACCTAATTATGTTACACACAATTTTGAATTTTATATTAAAAATGGTTTTTTGGATATATTCTCATACAGACAGATAGGAGGGGGGGGTGGGGGGGGATACAAAATATTCTGCCACATGTTAAGCACAATATTGCGACAAAATAGCCGTCAGGATTTTTCGTTTTAATTACATATTTTACGAGAAAACTCGAAAAAATACGCTACGTTCTATAACTATATTGTTGCC